GAGTAGACTATGTATTTGGCTGGGACATATGCCTGTAATGTTCAATGAATTAAGTGTCTAAACTGGTTCAGTCACTTGAAGTTAAATATATGACCCCTGAAAAAAATCTGGATGAAAGGTTAGATAAGATAGATAGTTCTTTAAAAGAAATATTTGGAGATATAAAACAAATGTCTGGAAAAATAAAACAAGTTAATGACAGTATTCATATGTATTCATAATGACAAATTCTAGACAGTAAATCAGAGGTTAGGGATATAGAATTAGAAAAGCATGGATAATGTGGCTCTGTTGGAACTTAGAGAGAAGGAATTTTGTTTGAGATTTAGAGCCATTCCAGAGAATCCAGATGAAGATATTAAAAGTTGTTCAGGCATTGACAGATTTTTTAGATTGGGAACAGGAAGATGCTGAAGATGACATTGATAGCATATAAATTAAGAAAAGAGAAAAGATGGTTTTGAAACTTGAAGAGGGAGGTACTGTATTAACAGACAATGTGGCTATACAAAAAACTTTTCATCAGTATTATTCTAACTTGTATAAAGGACATGATATTCCCTTGGAAAAAATAGATGACTATTTAAAAAAAATTTACCAAGGCCTACAGACAACCAAAATCATGAATGGATCTGTAATAATAAGGGAATGCTTTGAGGACGAACTTTTACAGCCCCTCCAAAATACAGTGAACTCTATCCAGGGAGATTAGATGCCAGAATCTTGGAAAGAGGCTAACATAACACTAATACCTAAAGAGGGACAAGATTTAACTTCAACAAAAAATTATAGACCAATATCTTTATTGAATAATGATTATACATTATTTGCAAAGATTCTAGCAGATAGACTAAAAATAATTCTACAAGAATTTATTCATGAAGATCAACATGGATTTTTACCCAAAAGACAGTTAAAAGATGATGTTAGAATGGTACTGGACATCATAGAATATTTGGAACAACATAATGAAAAATTGCATTAATATTTTTAGATGCAGAGAAAACTTTTGACAACTTAAATTGGCCTTTTTTGTTTAAGTTCTAGAAGATATGAATTTTTGAGAGAATTTTATAGAATGGGTAAAATCTATTTATATTTCACAGAAAGCACAACTTATTGTTAATGGAGATTTAACAAAACCTTCTGCGATACACAAGGGAGCAAGACAAGGGTTTCCATTATCCCCCCTTTTGTTTATTTTGGTCCTTGAAGTTTTGAATAGAGATATAAGGCAAGATGAGAGGATAATGGGTGTGAAAATTAAAAAGGAGGCTTATGAGTTGAGAGCTTTTGCAGATGATTTGGGGTTGATTTTGGAAGATCCCTTAAATGAGATTGAGTTATTAATGAGAAAATTAAAAGAACTTGGTGCACTAGTTCACTTTAAGATTTATGACCAGAAAACAAAGATGTTGACAAAAATATGAAGATACAAGATCAAATGGAATTGATGAATAAAATGGGTTTTAAGATTGAAAAAAAAGGTAAAATACTTGGGTGTTACTGTGAAAATATGAATTATATGTTTCAAAATAATTAAGACTTGGAATGAAATTTAAAAAGATATGTTAAAATGGGGAAAATTACAATTGCCATTGTGGGAGAGAATATCTGTGATTAAGATAATGTTTTACCTAGAATGTTATTTTTGTTTCAGACAATACCTGTTCTGACAACTGATGTATCGTTTAAACAATGGCAGAAAGATATATCTAAATTTGTGTGGCAAGATAAAAAAACCATGAGTTAAATACAAGGTGTTACAAGATGCCAAGGAAAGAGAAGGTTTAGGTTTACCTGATTTGAAATTGTATTTTCCAGCTTATTGCTTAGTTTGAATGAAAGATTGCGTGATGCTGAGAAACAAAGTTATTGGAATTAGAAGGTCATGATTTGAGATTTGGGTAGCATGGCTATTTATGGTATGATAAATCTAAGGGTAATGTAGATTTTAAGAATCATTTTATTAGTCGTGCCATACAGAGAATATGGAATAGATACTGTATAAAGCTATGTTGTATCTGAAGATACCTTTATGGCTGTCATCACAAGAAGCATAGAAGAGAAATGATAACTAAGCATAAATAGTTAACTTATGGTGATATACTGGAATTCTTCCAGGGAGACTTCAAAATAAAATTAAGAGAGGATTTGATATCAGAAGGATACATATATCAATGGTTTTCCTATGTACAATTACTAGAAAGATTTAAAATAGACAAAAAGACTTTTGGTTTTGAACATGGTAAGACTGAATTTGAAATAGAATTATGTACAAATGATGAACATGTTATTGCTAAAATGTTCAACAGAAGATGAACAAGTAAAAGAATGTATGATAAAACAGGCTAAAAACTGTGGGTACAATATACAAATGGAACAATAGGAGAATATGTGGATGAAAGGATTGAAATTTACATTGTGTTATAATCTTAAAGAGAACTTTTATTAAATGATGTACTATTGGTATTTGTTGCTGGAAAAATTGTCTAAAATGTATAAAGGTACTTTGAATGTATGCTAGAAATGTGACCAAGAAGAGGGGACTTTTTATCATGTCTGGTGGACATGTAAAAAAGTTTTTAAAAATTGGACTTAAATATATATATTAATTCAGAAGATCTTAAAGACTAATATACAATCAAAATCAGAGTCATTTATTTTGGGATTGATGGATAAACAGTTGGGAAAAAACCATGGAACTTTGTTTTTATATATAACAGCAGCAAGACATTTATATGCACAGCAGTGGAAAGATTTGACATTACCTACAGTGGAAGAATAGATGGTGAAATTGATGGAGCTGGCTGAGATGGTGAAACTGACAGCTTTGATTAGAGAAAAAACATTGATAAATTTTAATGCTGATTGGAAACCCGTTTTGGACTTTTTGTGTGAAACAGGAAAAAATGAAATCATGATATATGGATTTGATTATTAGAAATAATAGTAGACAATCGAAAAATGAAAGTTATGTTGTAAACTTAGAGTAAGAGCTTGAAGCAACTTTATACATATATCTATTGTAAAAGAAAATTGGAAGTTATTTTTCTTTGTATTTCTTCTTTCTGTACTTTTGATCTTGTTTTCTTTTTAATTCTCTATCTTCTCATTTCTGCTTTCTATCTAAATTATTAGTTCTTGTTAGTTTTTATACTTTATTTTAAAAATCTAATAAAGTTATTAAAAAAAAGATTCCTGTGTGGTTATGAGTACAATTTAGTATTGCTGTTTCTCTTAATGGCTGGTGGTATTTCATGCTAAATCACAGAATGGAAAGAATAAAAGGCTAACAACTAATATTCTGCACATTTCAGATTATATGGAAAACACAGATGGCAAAGAATGGAGTGAAAGCACAGCAAAGTTAAGATAGAGGATGGGAAATACAATAAAAAGCACAATTACCCCTCTTCCCTCAAGAGGAATGTGAAACAATTATATTTATCTTTTAAAACTTTCAGAGAAGGAAAACATTTAAAGAAAAAAGGATATGCTCATTGAAAGATGGGAAACAAAACTCAGAAGCAGTGCTGGTAACAAACCTACAAAAAAGAACAATTTGATTTCTTAAAGCCTTTGAGGACTAATGATATTAAAAAATGGATTTCCATTTTTAGGACTAAAAAACAGTGGTTCAGAGCATAGTGGGAGAGAACTCTTGTATCATAAATGTTTGTATGTGATCAGTTTCAGGGCTACTGCTCGGGTACATGTATCACAGGAACCCCGGTTGAAGCCCATACATAAGCAGGCCAGTGGAATTTCCTGGATTTCATCCCTTCACTATTACTCTTCTTGCAAAGCACCCCATGCCTTCCCAGCTCCTGGACAATGATTCAGAGTGAGCTTGGAACTAAGAGGGAAGTAAACAGACAGTGATAGTGGCAAGGAGATGGGTCCATGTGGGATTGTGGTAAGAAGAGCAGTGCCCTCAATGTGGAGCTGTCATCCTCTGTAGAGAATTGGGGGTGTGCATCTCTCACAGATAGGTTGCCATAAATAGTGTTCATCAGGCTCTGGGTCGAATCCATCATGTATTCTGGAGGAAAGTTAAAAATAAAAAGGGGGATGGAGGAATGGAACTGCGGTGCAAGGAAAGGAAGAGGATGCCCTTCCAGATAAAGGAAGAAAGCAGGGGGTGAACCGAAAAGAGGAAAAGAGGGGATGGGAGGCCCAAAGCTAGAAACAGTAATCACTGAACGCCTCCACAGAAGGAAGATGGAAATACCTACTGATGGAAAAGCCAGACTCTGCTTGGTACCGAAGAAAGAACCGACAGAGGAGCGGCCTTGATCTCCTCGTACATCGCTCCACCCATCAGACATCCACCCGCAAAGGATCACGTCATCCTTTTTGCTCACTGCACATGTGCAGCATTGCGGTTCTTGCTTCCATTCCTTCCCCCTCCTCGAAACATCTGGGCAAGGCGGGCGGGGGGGCGGCGAGGGAGCGTCCTGTTATGCGTGTTTGTCCGCCGGTCTGTCGGGCCTGCTTCCGAGCACGGCGCGCGG